ACAAAAACACTCAAGTGCCTCCCTGTCCTGACTCTGGAGTTTGCTTAGGGGGTTGTTTTGAAAATTCATGCAGGTGGGTTACTTCTGTTACCTGCCCAGATATTTACAAAAATTCCACCTTTTTTTTAAGGCAGAAAACAAAACTCCTGGCTCAATCTCAAAAGAAGGTTTTTATTTTTTCCTTCAAACAAGTACTGCAGGAGTTACTTCTCCAACCGCTGTGTACCCCTAGTTCCTCTTGCATCCTTTCTGTCAACATTTGGTACTTGAAAGTTTCTGCTGCAGCTGCCTTTGGGTGAGTAGCTTCAGCATCTCAGGGATAGCCTCATGTCACTACAGGTCACTAATGCTTAACCTACAGAATACCAGAAACACCTGGCATTTCCCAACTCCTTGGGCCAAATCTGGCCATCATTATAGGCTAATTTTGAAATTAATTTTTACAGATGAGAAGAATTCTATGTTTCAAAGCCCTTCCTTTAAAGGAGGTACGGAAGAAATGAAAAAATAAAGTCCTATCCTAGACAGAATTCGAGCTAAAAACGTGGATCATTGAACCTGGAGGCTAAGCTAATTTCTGTCACCTCCTCACAATGTGACTTTGGTAATAAAATGGAATTGCTCTGGCTCATACATTTTGATTATAACAGAACCAATATCATGAGTCACTCTGAAGAATAACTAAAGTTATCCTGCAAAATGAAACAAGTGGCACAGCACAGCTAACATTTAATAGACATTTCCCATGGTCCATAGCAATGTGAAAATCATCATTTTGAATCGTAGGACCAACACTTTAAAAGAATTAGACTTTACCTGGGAATTTATATTTCTCCTTACCCCCCCCTCCATGTGTGTATCTGTCTGTCTGTCTGTCTGTCTGTCTGTTTCTCTCTCTCTCAGTCTCTCTCTCTCAATCTCTCTCTCTCTCTCTCTCTCTCTCTCTCTCTCACACACACACACACACACACACACACACATTGGTTTTAAAGGAAGTACTCATTGAATATTTAGCAAGAATCTTAAAAGATTCTTCACTGGGTCCCTAGATTTCTATCAAAACATTCACCATTTAATTCACACATTTTGTACATTTCTAAGTTAATTTTCTGATTTCCAAGTTTTTCAAATGGTATTCGCTAGTTCTTTTTCTATCTTTATTTAAAATGCACTCATTGCCTGTATTTCCCACTGTCCTTCATTGCAGACACAGACGTCTAATGTTAACGTATCCGTGCGCCTTTGTTCTGCTCTGTGTGATTTTTGATTCCTAACATGATATCATTCCCTAGAAAGGAAGTAACAAAGACAGGATGTCGCTTCAATTTTAGCTGAAAGGTCGTCAATTTATTGGGCCCATGTTAATAGACGTAAGATTGTCTCCTCTGCGTATATCAGCATTTATTAACCCTCATGTGGTTTTCCTCATTTTCAGTTTGTCAGGGTGAGTAGCAAAATTTTCAAAGCATAAATTCTGTTCTTAGATTTCATTAAACGAAACCCTTATTGATTCAAAATTAGACCCAGAAGATATAGAGCATCCAAATTTGACAAGTTAATTAGGAGGTGATAATTAATGTTCATGAATGTTTGTCCTTTGCCTAACCCAGCTAATATTCAAAATGAAGTCTACAGTCCTTGCTAAGTACTTCGATATGGTAGTATGAATCTTAGCATGTCTTAGAGAGACAGACTGTAGATACACAGTTGATTGACTGTGGGTATAAATAATGTAGGTGATAAAAACATGAGACTTAAATCCAACTTCTCTCCACATTCTCCCCAACCTTTGGAGTCAGAGACTGATTTCACTCACCAGTGTCCAATGGTGATAATCAATGGTGATAATCAATCATGCCTACATAATGAAGACTAAATAGATACTGTGGACCAAACAACTGGAGTTCTCCAAGGTGACAAATGCACACATGTGCCAGGGTGGTGATATACCCAGAGAGGTCCCCCTCAGCATGTCCCTTGCCTTGTGCCCTCTTGGAATTGATGTTCTTGAGTCGTATCCCTTAGAATAAAATGGCAATTGTTAAGTGTAACATATTTCTGAGTTCTGTGAGGTAAATTATCAGACCTAAGGGCATAAACAGAAATTATTGCATTAGGACTCACAACAAGCATCTAAAATTAAGGCAGTCTTGTGAAGTTGAGCCCTTAAATTTGTGAAGTCTCATGCTAAATGTAGGTGGTTAGCACTAGGCTATGATTGAATTATAAGATGTTGGAGAACTCCTATTGTAAAGATACATGTATCTTATCAATAAAACAAGTAAGACAAAGTTTAAAGGAAGCAACCGTTTGTCTTAGTCTAGTTTCTGCCACAATAGCATTATATCATACACTAGTTTTTTCCCACATAAATAGAGGCTAATTTAGCTTAGTCTGGAGGCCAGGAAGTTCAAATCATACTATTGGCATTCATCTGCTTAGCACCTACTAAGAGGCTTCTTGCTCCATCATAACAGCAAGTATCACGTGACAAGACAGAATAAACATAATAGAGAGAACTTGCTTTTATAATAAAGTCATTCGCTGATCCACAAATAGATGAGTACACTCACAAAGTGAAGTGCTCATGACTCAGTACCAAAACCTACCTCTAAATACTACTACTATAACAAAACACCTGAGGCTGTGCAACAGATAAAGAAAGGAGTTATTTAGCCCACAGTTTTGGAGGCACAAGTCCAAAGAAAATTGGCATTATCTGTTAGGTCTCTAGTGTGGTCCCCTTGGCAACAAGGTGGATAGCATGGAGATGGTGATATATTCAAAATGGAAAGTCAATATTGAGACAAGAAGCCAGAATGACTCAGGCTTCAGACTCACTGTCTTCATAACAACTCACTCCTTGGTATAATAGCTTAATGGGGTCCCAAGATGATTGCATAATCCCTTCTAGGGAATCAGCTAACATGGTAATTCCACACTAGTCTCCATCTCTTAAAGGGTCTGCCACATCTCAAACCACCATATTTGAGATGACCAGCCTATGATCCATTGGCATATACACTCAAACACTTTCTAAACTTTAACTTTCCAACATTTAAGCCATAGCAATACCCAACACCTCATCTCCTTATGTTTCCTCTATGTATTTTCTAAGGAGACCATCTGCCTTCAAGTCAGCCCACAGCCCATCTTCTCCACAAGATATCCAATACCTCATGCCTGAGCAAGAATAATTCATTTCATGGCTGAGCAAAGAAAGTCTGGCTTTCATCAGCCCATGTTTTCAAGCTAAATGGAGTTGAGAACTTTGACCACTGGCCTTTGCCTTTAAACTAGAAGGCTAAAGAACAATGATGTTTCCTACATTTTACTGTGTAGGCATATGTCGACTCTTCAGATTCCTACCACCCCCTCTCTAAATGAGTATTCAAAGCTCTGAAAAGTAATAGGCTGTCTAATGACCTCAGGACCATCCAAGGCACTGCTGGCAACAGCAAAGCCAGAGTTTTTGACTCCTCCATCTGTGTTCCCTGTGTCTATTTTTCAATGGGTCCCACCTATAGGTAGAAAGGATTGTTATCTTCCTGGGAGTCTATGGAGCTTTCAGCTTTGTTTCCAATGCTTCATTTACATCCATTATTCTTTAAAGTCTCACGATGAAAAAAAAAACAAACATGTAGGGATGTGTGTGTGTGTGTGTGTGTGTGTCTGTGTGTGTCTATGTGTGTGTGTGTCTATGTCTCTCTCTTCTCTCTCTCTCTGTGTGTGTGTGTGTGTGTGTGCATGTGTGTCTATGTGTGTGTCTATGTCTCTGTGTGTGTGTGTGTATGTGTGTCTATGTGTGTGTGTCTATGTCTCTCTCTCTCTCTCTGTGTCTGTGTGTGTCTGTGTCTATGTCTCTCTCTCTCTCTCTCTCTCTCTGTGTGTGTGTGTGTGTGTCTGTGTGTGTGTGTGTGGTGTCTTTTAACAAGGTTGTGGGGAAAAAGAAATGTGTGCTCCACATCCTGCCCTAACCACTACACATGGCTTGGAAAGGCTGTAATAGTTCCTGAAAACACTTTTAGTTGCAAAAGAGCATGTGCAGGGCAGCCAGCATGGTTTCTATTTGTTGTCTTATATATTTTTATATATGCTAGGACTACAGAACCAAGCCCTTTCTAAGCCAGAAAGTGTGTATAAAAATGTGTGCCGAACAATATTTTTTTCTTAAGGTTTATTTCATTTTCAAAATAAAATAAAATAAAACTCACCATGGATCAAATGAAATGACCCGATTAAAGACAACCTCTCTCCTCCTGCGTGACTTTTCATAGCTGTGGGACTTAGATTCCCAAGGTATTATTTTTGACTGTTTTCCTAAATCACCAGTATATTGGAAACAGCTGTTAGGTAGGTTTGACGATAGAGGAAAAGTGCCAGAGGTATCTTTTTCCCTCCCGTGTGAGCTGAGGCAGTGCCCAGCAGGTGACCTTGGAGCCCTTGAATGTTCAAGAGAGATGTGCATTAGTTGAAATACATTGTTTGTACAAGGTCATTATCCCCCACCCCACTAGATTGTTGAAACTGAATTTTTCAACCCAGGTGTATTTAATGAGAAGTGAAGCCGCAGAAATTCTCCCACTGGGCCTGCCAGGAGAAGAACAGCAACAGTCACCAATGTGTCCTCAGTTGCCTTACCAGGTCCTAAGGTCAGCCATGCAAGGTGGATATTTTTCTCCAAATGTTATAAGAAAGGACTTAAAGCTCAGAGATATGAAAAAATAGAGAATCCTCCTTTGGAGACCATGGTGCACAGTGGGTGGCCGAAAAGGGCCTGGGCCTGGATCTGACTGGCTCCAAAGCAAATGTAATTACCTACTATATACTCTAAAAGAAAACCCCAGACCAAGAAAATCCTAAAAAGCATGCGCAAATGTGGGATAGACAGCCTGCCAGCAGCTACAAACGCAGTAAATGTTTAGTGAATGCCCAGGGCATTGAACCTTGTGTTTTGCTTTAAAGCGAAACCATCTGAAGAGACTTCACTTCCTTCTGTAAAGCAAGCTTTGGCTGGGGAAAGAGATCTGAGAGGCTGCAAAACACTGATATGGCTGTCTATCTCCCAAGCAGTCAATGGCCAGGAGAAAGAGGAAAGGTAAACCTGCTCCCTTAGAGCTGTGGTCTTGTGTGTGGAGAGCTTTGGCTGGCTTGTGGGGACTTACAGCAGAGATGCTGAGATCTGAAACCCATGTACCTTACGAGAACCAGAAAGGGGAGTTGTTTTTGAAAAGCACCCGGAAGTTCTGTTTTCTAAAGACTTGGGGTGGGAGAGGCGACCCTATCCTGCCCATCATCCTTGGATTCCTTCTCAGACAGGCCCTGGCAGTGGAATAATTAGACCAAAGAGTATGTTTCAGGAAACCCTGGCCGCAGTGCCAGGCCCAGGCTTGTTTAAAGGCAGCTGCTCTGATGTTAAAATGAAATAGGACATGTAACCAGATTATGGGAAAATCATTGCTATTAACAACAATAATTACCCTCTGTTCAAGTAGCTTCCTGAAATAAAAACATCAAAGAACAGCTTTCAACTACTTTACTTGGCCCCCTTGGTGAACCCTTCGGGTCCGGGTATGTTTCAGAGGCATTTGAGGGAGAATATATTGGAAGGAAGGAGGATGGGACAGTACGGGAATAGTTCAAGTTCTGCTGTAACTCAACTGTGCCTTGTGCAAAAACCTATTTTCATCAAAACCAAATGGTTGAGAGAGCACCTGTCAAGGCTGCTGTGAGTACAGTTCTAAATAAGATGAGGGCCCATCCCAGGAAGCCCCAGTCTAGAGCATGATGTGGAAGTTCAATAAGGCAGCCATACTTTAACATGGCAAGTGCAATGAGGACAGGGAGCAGGGTCACTAAGTAGCAGAAAGGACCAGTGTCATCCACCCTGCTCGGGAGGAGGAAAGGTTGGGGTCCTGAAGGAAGGCATGTTGATGCCACCTGTTGAAGGATGTGGATGAGCAAAAGGCATAAAGAAAGCTGGGGCTTCTGTACAGGAGGAGTCCAATGCTTTGAAACAGTGGGGTGTAATTAGTTCAGTCAATGGAGGTAAGGCTCAGGCTGTGGGCAGGTGCCAGACCAAAGGCAACTCAGATGCAGAATACTTGAGAAAGACAACTCTGGCCATAGCAAGTATCCCCAGTTAACATAGAAACTGTGGTAAAGGGGAGGAGGGCTGGGAGGGAGCACTCGATGCTTTAGATAAGGACAGTGTGATTGTTAGAACGCTTCAAGAATTAAAAACCTGTAGAATTCAGTGAGTGGAATGGATACAGTCAGGGATGACATTCATAAAGTTTGACAAGTAGCACAACCCAGGAACTGACCCATCAGAATAAATACAAGCCAAACACAACAGCAGGGCCCAACTACACATGGTGACTGACAGCAGCCCAGGCAGGGGTTGGGGATGGGGGCTGTTTATAGATACCTTCCATTAAGGTGCCTGTCTAAGAGGATGATTGCTCTGAGAAAGCCCCAGGTTGACATACAATTTGAACTTTGGAGTTTCTTCCCTGGAAGCCTCACAGGAGAATGACCAGAGTCATTAGAGTCAGAAGCTGGAAGCCCTATTGTGTCTGGCTCAGCCACCTGTCCTCCGGGGGCTAGTTAGACAACTAAGTGACAGTGAAAAGCAGAAAAAGAAAATGTATCCAATGAGGTCACACTGTATTCAATGAGGTCATACTGCATTCAACAAGGTCACACTGTGTTCAATGAGGTCACACTGTATTCAATGAGGTCCTACTGTATTCAATGAGGTCACATTGTATTCAATGAGGTCACACTAGGATAGAAAACATAGTGACCTAATGACCCTCCCACAGCCCCCCAAGTACATCTTCAGGGCCCTGAATGAGATCTGGTTTAAATAGAGGTCAATCAGTATAAATAAATAACTAAGCAGGCCCGGTAAATGTGTGGTCCTGCCAATCACCCTTGTTTCAGTTCTTTTGCAAGGTGGTCTGACAAGCTGTCAGAGCTGTGCCAAATCGCTTTCCCTAGGCAAATTCCTCCTATGGCTGTCACCAGGGCTCCAGCCATCTCCTTCTCCTACTATGAGATTCTTGGAGAAATCCTAATTTCTTGGGATCCTTTATCTCAGTCTTACAGTGAAAGGTAGAGTCACAGTATCTCTTGAGAATGTCTTTGTTCCTGCCAGGACAGGTATGAGATGATGAGCCAGGTCTGAACCTGGACCATGAGAAGCCCCACATGTTCCCTCTTGTTAACTTGTTAACTGTACATTGTTCCAAGACTATGCTCCAGTGAGATTTCCAAAGAATGAGGGCCCCAGAAAGTGAAGCATAGTCACCCAGTAACCTATGCTTCAGAAATGATAAGCTAACTGATAGCCAGCCAACACTCACACATATGAGTTTGACCAGACAAATTCAATACAGCCTCCCAGATGACCACAAACAACTCCTACTGTGTGGTCCTCCTGTATATGTGGCCCTGCTGTGTGCATTAAGGTTCTGTGGTTATTTGTAATACATCTGTATTATGCCAACAGATAATGGTTACATACATTCTACCATTCATGTACTTCCATGCTTGCCAAAATGCTCAGTATCCATGCAACATGAAAAATAAGTCAAAATAAGTCTGTAGGTACCTATAGTCTCCCATACACCTGCATACATCATGTGTTGAAGAGGGGGGCTGGATATGGACAAATGGAAAAGTTTTCTAGACTACCTCTGCTAGCTACCCTTTGTTCCAGCACCCAGCACTGGCGTTAGGTACCACTTCATGGTTGATTCAGACGCTTTAAAGTTCCAACAAACAATGTACCTTTCTTCTTATTATTAAAAATTCAGAGCCAAGATACATACACACACACACACACACAGACACACACACACACACACACACACACCAGACATATACATATGGGCCAGACAAATATAAATTAAAAGCAAAATTAAAAGCAATCAGTAGTTTGGGGCTGATAAAGGATAGATTGGGGCCAAGCATGATGGCACAGGCCTGGAATCCTAGCACTCAAGAGTTTGAGGCAGGAGGATTCTGAGTTCAAACTAGCCTAGGCTCCATAGTAAAGCTCTTAAAATAAGCAAGGTTAGAGATCCTGGCTTTACATAACTGGGTACGGGGACAAAAAACAGCCAACACTTTAGCCTGGAATTAAACTCAAACCCTGCCTGTCACAATGGATATTTGGAACCGCTGGATTCAGCAGGGTAGACTGCTGGCATAACTGAGAAGAACATTGTTCCCATGATGGCAGACCACTAGAAGGGTCTATGTCCTTTCAGAAAGGGAAGTGAAGCCGGAACAGAGAGTCTTCCTGGAGGTCCTCCATGTAGGAAGTTAAAGCTTGAGGTAGCGTGTCCTGATAACCACCCCCTGCTCCAGACCGTCATGCACATTTCAAGAAAATTGCTATTCATCCTGCCCAGGTGCCTTTCCTTTACCTCGAATCTGTTCCATTTCCCTAGGCAGAATTCACATTCAAGTCCACTGACTACGGGTGACTTCATTCTGTAATCGAGACACATACCTGGTAGAACCAGAAGGATGCCTTTGCGCATCACAGCCTCCAGCCCAAACTCTGAGCATCCGGACTTCCAGCAAGAAGCACTCAGGCCAGGTCTGGGTTCCTCCTGAGGAGATCTAGCAGTTGTGCTGTGAATGGAGCGCTCTGTGTTTCATACCCTAAACAAGGTAAACAAGTCCATCCTGCTGGGATACCACTTGGCCATTTGTCCTTCAGGAAATAGCTCCACCCATATGTAAGATACAGAACCTCACAAGCATGCTATGAAGTTAGAGTTAAACAATTCCTGTTCCATCATATCACAGTATGTGCATATGCTGGGTAGATGCGTCTGGGGATGACTTGGAAACTCCTGGAAGTTCCTAGTCACTGTTTCTCTGGGCTTTTGTGACCCAGCAGAACCCTCTCCCTGACATCTCTTGACCTCACCTCTTGGCCTCCCAACCATTTGCTCAGAGCTGATTGTGTTGGACATAATTTGTTCTTCAGAGTCTCTGTGCCTTCCCAATGGTGTTTCCTTTGCCTGAATGTTCTCTAGTCAACCCAGTAACTTAGCCTGGCTAACTGCTACTATGGAGCAGGGACTAAGATAAGAATCATTTCAAAAATTTGTTCATTCATTAATTCAAGAGGAAATATACCCTACATAGGCTGCCCTAATAGCATACTAAAGACTGGAGTAGGAAGGGCTTATAGATATCAGAAACTTACTTTCTCAGCTCTGGATCTAGCAGTCTGAGAAGAAAGCATCACTGATTGTTTCTTCTGAGGCCTCTCTCTGGCTGGCAGATGACCATCCTCTTTTCTGAGCCCTTACATTTTGTTTTCCCCTCTTAAGCAGCCCTGTGACACAGGTGACATACATATACTTACGTTATTTTGCAGAGAAAGAAAACAAAACCTGAAGCCCAGGGAAATGAAAGATCTTGGCAGTATTTCTACCACAAGAAAGCAGCTCTCCAGGACCCAGGCTTTCTCAGGGCAGCTACAGCATTTGATATTACAGTGGAGAGAGACTAAAACTCATAGCTGATGCTAAAAAAAATGTCACTGGAACTAAGACCACATATCCTGACACCCCTCGAACTTCAGCTGCCATTGCCCCATCTTCCCATGGCAATAGAAGCTGTATGGAGCCTCCTGTGTAAACGCTGGTCTCATCTTTTCAAAGTCTAAAATTCTAAATCTTAAGCTGTTTAAGAGCCTTGTCCTTTCAAGTTTAACATTTATTAAAGGAGTTGAAGGGGAGCAAGTCTTGTCGCTCTTGGAATCTAAGCCTCATTACTCATGTTTCTCCCCTCCAGAAGGAAGTTGTCATACATTTAATAATGCTTCTTGGCTGGGCTTGTTGAGAGCAGTCAACAAGCACCTCAAGCCTCCAGCACGACCTGGCTGCTATATGGCGAGAAGGACATGGGAAACTTTTTTTTTTTTTTTAGACTTTTAAGCATTCACTTGAAAGAGAGTCATCAAACAGGCTTAGGCTAAAGTATGCTGTGAGCTCTGTGTAAATAAGGGAAGGGTTCTGCTTCCAACCTGAGTTTGGCACACACAAACACACAGATACACACACACACACACACACACACACATGCACACAAACACACAGAGAGAGACAGAGACAGAGAGAGACAGAGGGAGCTACTTTAAAATACTGGGTTTACCACAGTTGCCATGAGATTTGGATCAGTTAGATGGTCTTCCCTAAATTTCAGTTTTCTCATCTATAAAATAGAAGTTATAGTAAGACACATCTTAAAGGATGTGAAAGTTTTAAATAATTGATCCACATAAAACTTTTATCCCCAAGACCTACCTGGTGCATTAAATATTGTATGCTAGCCCAAGGATAGTTATAAAAACAAAAAACAAAACCTAATGTGGCAAGCACATTCCAGTCTTTCCTCTAGGAGTACTGGAGTAGTCCTGATCGGAGTACTCTCATGGTCTCAAGGTATCACTCATGTTCTAAAGAATCATAGCCACTCCCTCTTCATCTGTCTTAGCCTCTGTCCTCTGCCTCTCTGTTTTACCAAAACACACCCTGTGTATCTCAAATCTTATTTCTAGCACTCCAGACTGTACCTATTCTTACAGCCTTCAGTTGACAGTCTTCCACTCTTCCTTGAGCTCTTATTCCCAGCCAGGGCTCTTAGACTAAAAGGGCAGTCATAGGTCCTACCAGAACTAAACAGAACAAAACAAATAGTTGAATGAATGTAAAGAAAAGCTTGGTGGGTTGAGTGATAAATAGATGACCCTCCATAGTCACAGGCGTTTAAATGCCACTAGCTCCAACTGTTCCAGTCATCTTCCCTGTAAGACTCATTTGATCTTCTTGTGAATGTCACCCCAAGTTAACCTCAGAACTGCATGACTCTCTTTCTGCCCAGTACTTCATGGTCATCTAGACCTCTACCTTGCTCCATTCTTGTTTCTTATACAACATCTGGCTCCCTGCAGCTCCTGTTTGACTCATTTCTCTAACAGACATATTTGCCTGGGACCTGTGTTCCAAGAACTTACTAGGCACTTTGACAGCACTTTTACTTTAATTTCCAAGAGTCCAGTAGGAAGAGATAACTTGTCAATCAATGGATAGCAATAAAACATGGTATATGTGTTATTCCCTGCTGGAAGAGTCATGGGAGGCTTTCAGGAACAGACACAAACAAATTTTTTTAAGAATCTCAGAGATCCAAGTCCCTGATAAAGGAGACTAGGGGGGAAAGGGTACACAGTAGAACTTGATGCTTAAAGGATCAAACTGGAAGTGTCTGTGTGAGGAGCTATATGCTTTATCATTCATTGCCATTGCATACACTGAGAGACAATATAAGAAAACCAGGCAGGCAAGGAAGCCCAAGTGGTCACTTCTAGAGCTGAAGACTCCAAGTGAGGAAAGCATTGGTCTTCAAACCCATGCTGGGCAGAGACAACAAAAGGCACGGGGATAAACCCATCTGCCTCTGAGTACCACACCAAAGACCACCCTGAATTCACTCAGACCTGCAGGAATCCGTCCTCACCACAGAAGGCAGGAGGGTAGGGACTTGACTAGGGGGAAAGGAAAAGGCAGCTTGACCTCTGAAGTGACTTTGCAGTCTCTACTTTTCTGGGCACAGCAAAGGAAAATAAATCATCCCTCACATGGCAGGGGCCAGGCTTGCTGCATGATTGTCTAATTAGGTGTAAGATTACACCAAAGGCCTGGTTACAGGAGGCCAGCAGGGATCACATCCAAGAGCATCAGAACAGACAAGAACAAGCAAGACCCTGCTCAAAATGAAAACAGGAGGGATGAAAAAGCCACGCCGTTAGGCCCCACCTCTCGTCACCCATCACCTTCCTACTAGAATTCCATGAGAACTTCAGAGAGCAGAAAACAAATGATCTGCTAAGATTTTTACACTCCGTTTCATCTCTGACAGGGTCTCTGATTACTGACAAAGTAAGTTGAAAAAGAACCAAGGAAATAGACAACGACCATAAACACAATTTGCTTCTTTATTAAACATTATTGCAAAATGATTGCTATGTGTAAACACTGCACTAGCTACAGGATCCACAAAAGTGATTAGGGCATGACCGTTCCTCAAGGAGTTCATGGCCAAGTAGAGACAATGACTCAGAAACCCAGAGTAACTGTTGCTGTGGAAAGGTTTTTCCTTCTTATTGATTAAGTTGATTTTACGAGTACATGAGAAGCAATCAAAAGTTGTCCCAGAAGATAATGGTTTAAGACGAGTCTTAAAGGTAAGGGGAACTTAATCAGACAATGAAGAAAAAAAGGACTGCTGGCCTGAAGCTGACACAGGAAAAGAGGAGTTTTAAGGAAGAGCAAGGACCATGTTGACTTGACTCTGAGTTCACTGAATGCCAGAAAATTGAATTATATATTCTCAAGGGAGAATAGAAAGGGGAGATGTGTTACATTAAGCAAGCACATTTAAAAGTTATCTACCCACGGATACTGTAGGTTTCTCCTCTTCTATGGGAGCACAAAATCTGAATGCAAGAAGTTATAAAGAAAATCCCCTTTAATTAAAGCTATTGTACTTGTCTTCAAACAGGGTCTCATTGTCTAGCTAAAGCTAGCTTTTCACATATAACCTTCCCATCCTGAGAGCTAATACTGGAAGCATACATAGCTAGGCCTGACAATCACTACTAATCTAATAGTTGGAGTTAGAACTTTTAGTTTACTGTGTGTACTAGTGTCTTAAAATTTCTTTGACACATGCTTTATAAGGTTGGGTAAAGTTTTGGCTAGAATTTTGAACTTGTGTGATAGTCAAATCTATTACTCCTGTATAGCTGCATTCTCAAAGCTGGGTGAGGTTATTATTATTGGTTTGAGGCCACATTCATATACATACACCCCAGGACTACTCTCAGTTTACACCTCTAACCACTCACAAATACATCGTAGCAATTTCAAAATGGACCACGAGAATATTTAGAGGATGAAGAAAAATCTTCAAATGCAGTATTCATCCTGGCCTTATACAACTGGAGCAGAAATTACAATGGAGGGAAAAGGAAGTAGAAACACCCAGACATGACTCTGGAACGTGACACTGAAGCTAGATGGATTACAACGACATCATCAGATGCTAAGGCACAGGAAGACCTCTGGCCAAACATTTGCACTGCACACCTTTCTTTATAAACAAAATAGAAGTCTTTACATTCCTGGCGAGCACAAACTTGTACAGATTACTTACAAGTATTTCTCTACCAACCAACTGAAGATGCGAATGTTCCCTTCCTGCAGCCCAAAAGCATTGCCTTAGACATCTCCTGCGAAGCTCATGCTCTCCCACAGGAAGCACTGCTCCAACACAGATCAAGGATACTCATATTCCCTGTTATCTCAGAACATATTAGATAACAACGAGGATGTGTCCATTCTCCTGCAGCGTGAATATTGAAGGGAGGGATGAATGTGGTTGCACTGCAAAAGGCAGATCAAAGAAAGAAAGATCAGGGTGGGGGGATTAGAGGTATCTTGATGCTCGGCATGATGAGTTTAGGTTAAACACATCACATATCCTTGCCTCCAGCAACACGAAAGAATAGAGTGGAGCAGGTTTTAAGATTTAGTTCACAAATAATTTGACGGAGCTGAAGGAACAGATTCGGTAGTTAAGAGGGAGGCTGTGGATGAAGGTGATCGTAATCCTGAGATCCTGGCACCTCTGCTGAGAGGTAGAGCAGAGGAAGAGAAGAAGACGCACAAAGGCATGGGGATGGCCAGCTTGACCCTGTGAACCTGGGGAGTCTAAGGCTTTATCTGTGTCTGGACCAGAGCCTGATGAGTGAAGACATGACTTTTTGCTTTTGTTTTTTTCTTTCTTTTTTGCAGTACTGGGGGTTGAATCCTGGATCATATGCATGCTAGGCAAGCATGCTATCACTGAGCTATATTCCTAGGCTTATCCATGCAACCTTGCCTTTTATCTTATTTATTTTGGAATAGAGGACTCCCTAAACTGCCCAAGCTGGCCCTGGCCCCGATCACTTTGCAGTATAGATTAACCTTGAATTTGTGGTTCTTCTGCCCAGCCTACCTAGTAACTGGGTTTGCAGGCCTACACCAGTAGTTCATTGTGGTATACTTTTTAATTTGTGTGTGTGTGTGTGTGTGTGTGTATGTGTGTGTGTGTTGCATGCAAATATGCCAGTGCTCAAGTGAAAGACAGAGATAGCTTGGAGGAGTTGATTCTCTTAACCTTGTGGGTCTTAGGAACTAAATGTAGGCGGTCAGTCTTGGCAGCAGGTACCTTTACCTGCTTAGCCTTCTCATTGTCTCCTTTACATGATTCTTAACTGCCATCTGTGATCGAATGCATTTCACAAAGCAAGGCAGGTCACACTTTCTCAGGCACAAGTGTATTACATTCATGTCTGTAGAATTGAAACAGAAATTGTCCAAAATAGCGCTTGTCCCTCCTCCATGGAACGCAGTCTAATATTTTAACTTCATTATTTTCAGTGCCAAGAATGATCCATAAGCTAGATTTCATGACCACAGAGTTTAGACTCTAGCCGAAGGAAATTGGCTTAAACGGGACCATTCACTTCAATTACTCAAGTATCATGTCATTAAAAGGTACTGGATGGTGAAAGCTGACCAGCTTTGGTTTGAATTCCAGAATTCTAACTGGGTGACCTTGGCAAGTCTGAGTCAAGGGTTTCCAATCTGCAAAAACTGGAATAATAAAAATACATGTCTCATAGGCGTGATGA